GTTACAGAACCCTGGTGCGATTAATGAACGAAAATGGATATAGATGCTTACGACCACGACAAAAAGGTTTGCTGTCAGAAAAAGACAGAAGGAGGAGGCAATGTTATGCCAGGCAAGCAATTCAAAAATATGATCGGAAATTCTGGACAGACGACGTCCTTCTCTATTTGGATGGTGTTTCTTTCGTTCACAAACGTAACCCCTATAGAGACGCTTTGACGCCAAAAGGGAGAATTTGGAGAAGATCCAATGAAGCTCTCAAGCACACCACAAAGGGGTCCAAAAGCTTACCTGAAGGGCAGAGACTCCATCTTCTAGTTGGTGTTGGGTTCACAAATGGCGTTGTCATTGCAGAAGAATATCAAAAATTCAATGCAGAATGGTTTGCAAGATTTGTTCACAAAACTTTACATCCTACACTAATTGATTGTGCCATATCAAAGGAGAAAGAGAAGCTAATTTTTTTAATGGACAATGATCCAAGTCAGAGGAGCAAACTCGCTACCGATGCGTTACACGATGTAGGGGCAGAGCTCATAGAAATACCCCCAAGATCACCCGATTTGAATCCGATTGAAAATATTTTCAACAATGTTAAATCTCAGTTGGTAAAAGAAGCATTATATTTGAAGATCGAAAAAGAGAGTTTCGAAGAATTCCGTGTTAGGGTTTTGCAGACACTTTTCAATTTCGATTCCTCCATCATCGATCGTACGGTAGCAACGATGCATGATCGTCTTAAAATTATAGCAAAAAATGGAGGGTATCGAACCAAGTATTGACTGCTGTAACACTGACTATTAATTAAAGAAACTATTTTTTATGCTGTTTTTTACCATAACTTTCACTTAATTATGTGCCCAATTTTGTAGTTATAGTTAATAAATTTTTTGCTATGTATATTAGTAAATATAAATTTACATATGAATATAAATTTACATGTGTCTTCTTTGTACCTAACAATTCTACTGTTACTTGCTATATTGGAGAAATATGCTATTCGTATAAAAGGTTATGCAATAAGAATGCCTCTTCCTAGCAACGAGGCTACCAATTACAACAAAGACAAGACAACATCTTGGCGGATGGATTGACGGTCTACACAACGGTCTACAAACTTTCAGGGAATCAAAATAATTTCATTTGAGATGATGTGGAGATAATAAATACACAAAGGATAGCTTTCTGTAAAGGAAGTTTGCCTGCAAAAAATCGAAAACGTTTACGCGACGAGTGCCTGGAAATAAAGGAAAATGTTCACGATCTACGCTGTTTATGAAAAGGATTTGATCTTGGCTCATATTTATCATTCAAAATGTGTAGACCGTGGAAAGATTTGTTAAATTTGCTAAATATATTGGCTGTTGGACAGAAAACGCACAACCAACGTACATAGGCAAACATTCCGCAAATTTTGGTTACCTTTACTAGGAAAATGCTTCATAGAATATGGAGAATTCTGAATAAAAGAAAGTGTAGACCGTTGTGTAGATCGTTGCGAGTCGTCATTATTTACGAAGTTTTTCTACGGAGCACAAAACTGCGAAGGATAGTCATGTGATGATCGACGTGTCAATGAAGGAGCATTGTTGCAAAACAATGTCCACAGGAAGGAACAGTTTTCTGGCATTCCAAATCAAATTGATGCCTGAAAGAAAAAATACGCCATCGAACATTCATCATCTCTGTTTCTCGGTCGTCTATAATGGAACCCTTGACAAAAGATATTGGGGCTTTTGCTGTTGCAAAGATTGGCATGTCTCTGCAGAATTCAATGTCCTGGTTGTATGTTGTTTTTGGTGCAGCAAAATGGACAACATGGCCTTCCAACAATAACAACATGTCATGCCATGGCAGTATGACAGGCGACCACCTGAAGTCATTTAAAAAGATCACTTCTTTATTCTCAACACCAAGCCATGCATAGGAGCAAGTTGCAGGCGAGAGAAAAGTGTCGAAAATGACTCGTAAGGGGTCAAGGATGAAAGTTTTCCCGCAGTTGGCTGGGCCACAAATGTAAATATTACGGCCCTTGCCACGACCCATTACAAGGAGCTTGATAATGGCATCGGAGAATACAGCTCTCTCGATTGAATTTTTGTTCAAAATTTCGAGGGCACATTGCAGCCATTCGCCGCTACAAATACATGGAGTGGTTATTTGCTGTTGGAGGATTTGTAGTCTGGACAATTTAGAACGCTGAATTTTATCGGCAGCTGCCTCAACCTCCCAAACTGTGTCGACAAGCTCCTTCAGCTTTTTCTCACTCCTGTTCAAAACAAAATCATACAACAAGGTATCCCCGTGTTGTGACTGACGTTTTGCAAGGGCCAGAAGATCAATTCGCGCACGGATTTTATTTCGCAAAACAATTTTTGCGACTTCACTATTGGAAAGGCGTTTAGCCTTTTTAACACTTTTACGGCCCTTCCCTGCCCTTGCCCTTGTGGCATTAGCAGTTTTGGGTTGAATTGTAACAGCGGGGTGATTTTGACTTTTAAGGACAGCCACATCTTCCTTCATCACATATGTGTAAGCTGAATGATAGCCTGCATGGTCAGAAAAATTCACAACAATACCATGTTGCTGTTGAATATGCTGCTTAATTCTGATCCACCTTTGGGCTTTGTCCAGAAGCACTGCCATATGGAAATGGTAGCTCCCGTTTTTGTGCTGCTCCATGCAACAGGCCCATTGTATAACTGACGATGTTGAAGCTGATTGAAAGGATTCAACTATCGCCGAAGAGAACTTTTCTCTGTCAAATACTTTCGTATCAGCATTGCTGTATGTAATTAAATACGCCTTTTTTACGCTGTTAACGGGGAGTTCTGAGGAGCTCTCCTTTTCCTGGCAACTTGACATCTTGTTATTTGAATTTTGAACGAAATTTTCGAACTTCTTCCAAAAGGAATATACTTAACAATTTGAATTTGGAAACTTTACCCGCCCCATTTTTGGCCTCCATCTCATGGAGGTGAGAAAGATTTGCCTCCATATCACGTTGCACTGTTAAAAACTGGCATTTTTTCCCTTTGAATTCAAAGAAACTGATGAAGTTATGAGACAAAAATGATATATCCTTATAAATTCCAATTATGAATAAAGATTGAGTTATATTTCTCATCACTAACAAACATTTAATACCTGCAGCAATAATTTCCAAAATGGTAAATAATAGCATACACCTTTATTATGGAAACATTGTCCTCTTTCATTTCTAGTTCCTGCCTTTCCTATTTAATGACATCCAATGTTGTTGATATGTAGAAAATATCTTAGGTCTGTGTAGAGTGAAGGTTTTTAGGGCAATTCTCGACATACTTGGCACTCTCCTTCATAATAATGGCGTTGAGTGGTTTATTATCAATATAATAGTTACCAGAAAATGCAAACAAACATTGTAGCGCTTCAATTAATGAAGATATGGCCTTGAAACTTCTGAAAATGAAATCAGCGCCCTGGAAAACCTAGGGCAAGAAACTATTTCCAAATTTATATCTGCCCTCTTTAAAAATAAAATTCAGACAATGCCTGCCAAAAGTCCTTGGAACACCCTGAGATTTCTGTGAATTCGCGTGTTCCTTTCTATTTCCATGTCAACAAGGAGGGTGTTGCCCCCCTTCCCCCGCATACAATGTTGATTCGCTAGCTGAAAACCATAGCTATGTAAAAATGTATCACTTGTACATGTAGGATTGGATTATTAATATTTCCGTGGCACAACATTGTACAAGGGGGGAGGGGATGTTGCAGCTCGTGCACAACGTAAATTGTAGCAAGTGTTCCAAGACTTTTGGCAGGCATTGTATATATGCTATTTATTCAGATTATTGTCAAAATTAAGACATTCTAAAATAGATTTTTGATGACGTCGCACTTTATTACTCTATTTCGGCAGAGAAATGAAGCTCTACAGTTAATTGAAAAATGGCAGGTAATTTGCCTTTGATGATTGGTATGGGTATGAGCTTCGTCTGCTGAAAGTCGGCCTTGACGTGCAGGCAACCGAAATTCCATTGCTAATCTTTGGAATGGCCTAAGGTTCATAGTAAGCGAACGATTCAAGCTCATTGAAATCATGATGCAACTGCACTGTTTTTATGGGCACTGTATGGTGCATTTTCAATCTTCTTTGCTTTATTTTGTTCTGTACGACAGTCAACTAACTCAAATAAAACGAGTGTTTATTTGTAGAGTGTATAAAATTCATGGCTTAGAAGGATTGCTTTGTATAGCCAATTGATCAGTGCCCTTTTAAAGCATCTAAACAAAGAAAAAAGTATTTTAAACAAAATCCAGTGAAAGAGCTAGAGATAGGAATAGAAAATTTAAGTTAGAATTGTTTAGAGAAATGAAATAGAAGCAAGAAGGATGATGAACATGCTTCACTCTGTTAAAAACCCTTTCATAGAACGAAATGGACATCAGCCAAACTCGAGAAATTGCTTGCTCTTGTCCTTCCTGAGATTTCGTTGTTTATTATCAATCTCAGAAGAACTAACTAGATTGACTAAAATTTCTTCAATTTTATGTGTAAGTCAAAATTAAAGAGCATTTATGCAAACTTCTTGTTCCATAATGTCGTTTTCATGAATCCCAAATTTTTCAAGCTCTTTAAAATCTATAATCATTATCACATATAATATTTTTGTCTGTCATTTTTAGAAACTCTGCGAGAAACCCCAGTCTTAAAATAAAAGTGCCTAAAGATCCTTAGTTTGTTGGAAGAGTTCGACATCTGTTCTATAGTTAAAGATGCCTTAGTTTAGCAATGATTTTTATATTGTATACCTTATGTCGGAATTTTTGTTTTTATCCAAACTCAAAAATAAGTCGATGTTTCCTGTTTACTTTTTATTTGCTTTGTTTTCCTCTCTTTTCTTTTCCTTTTAATTTTCCCTTGCCAAAAACAAACAGCTAAGTGAACGCCCACGTAACAGACTCATATAAAATGATCTCTCATAAAAATTGTTAACAAGTGCAAGGATTTGTTTTTCAGTCAACGATCTTCACTTTTGTCAAGTTCTTATCGGCCGTGCAAAACCTTTCCGACGCAGTGTCCGCTTTGAGAACGATCCTCGAAGCAGCACCGAACGGTTCCTCGTTTCTTTTCATCGACAACTCGCTCATGAGTATCAAGAATTTCGTGGAGAGTCTTGTTTTCCCTGATCGAAACTTTGAAGAGACCAAGAATGGCAAAGAAAACGATGAATTCATCTTCAATGCCTCGTACGCAGAATACAGGTTTGAAATCGAGGATGCTCTGGCGAAGTATCCTTTGCTGTGTGACTACATTAACCTCGTTGTAGAGTGGGTTGATAGGCCTCCTTTGAGTGATCTTCGTGTGTACATATTTCATGTTGTTAAGAAAAATTAGATTCTATAAACAAAAAAAATTATTTGCGTATAATTAATGTAAATTCTGTTGTTAAATTAAAAAAGCAAGTTGCTTGTTTTCAATTTTTTCATGAAATTTTAAACTCAGTTGTTTTCCGTCTCATTTTATGTCAAAACGTATTTGTAAATATCGTGAGTGCAAAATTGTTAAAAAAAACTTTTATTAGTTAGTTGTTTGTAAAGTTGATCACTTATAGTGTGTAAAATGCATTCAAATATGTTAGTGAATTTAATTTCTTTATTTTAGCTAGTTTGAAACGTTCTTTGTTTCATTGCTTTTAAACATTTTTGTTTCAACAAAATGCTCTCCTTTTCTCGTACCATGGTGTCCGTTTAAAGATCGCATCATTTCATTTCCTTTGTGAATAAAGCTGGAATGATTTGACAATCAGTTATCATTCGTTTATCTTGCTTTAATGCGGGTATCTTCTGTCGAGTATCGCCCGTTTTATGTTTCATTAGGTACCTTCTTCCATAACATTCAAAACTGACCTGCGGTTCTTACATATGCTTCCCCAATCCCAATCCCTAAGCAGCGACCTGTTTTATTTATAGCTTGTTCTTATACATTTATATTTCTACATCTGACTAATAGAAAAAATCTTACTATTCAAATATGATTTTCAGATAACTTTCAGTTATATACTTATTATGCGCAACTGTAAAAATCTGTTTAACCATTCTCGCTTTTAATCAGTTGGGGTTTTGTCGTTTTGAAGCGTAAATCGCCGTGGTTTTATCTATCGTTTTCAGTAAGTGTGTATAGACTTGCATTTTTGCACAGCAGCCACAAATCAATGAATGAATAAAGGAAATAAATATACCCTTTGTAATTGCAAACAAATGGGGCTACAAAGTTGGCACAAGTCCCAAAATAGATAGAGTTGGCTCTAGCCCCAAGGTAGACATCTTTTGCAGATTTCCCAAAACAGATAAATTGCCACTAGCTCCAAAATGAATTAGATTGATATCCTCCTACATTGTACGGACGCAAAAAAATTATTGAAATCATTGAATTTGTTATCTGGACAACTCTTCCAAAATACACGAAACAGAGTCTTTACGATTGTTAATAAAAATGACACGTGCAGTCTTCAAATTTGCCTTGCTTTCCATACAGGTGTAGATTAGATCTTTGCCTGTAGGTCTCCACCCCTAGCACTTAGCGTCTTCTTCATGGCTTTCTTCTCTCCTTGTAACCCTTGAGCTTGGTAAAAGTAAAAGTGAGCTGCGAAATCTTCTGTAAATGTACATTGCATATGCACGTTCAGTATTTAATTCAATACATGGAGAAAAGATAACATTCTAAGAAAAGTATAAAAATTATTTGAGATTGGTAAACTGAACCCACATTTTTTTGCATTCTCTCTGACAGTAAATGTGAACAGCTTCCCAGTGTTTCCACCTCAGGGAATAACTCGAGCCAATCATTTGAGCCAAGTTTAAGGCCATCAGCTGCTATTCCGATATACAATGCAAAACTTCCCATTTTATTTTAAAGCCGTTTTCTTCACGTTTGTTCCAGAAGCCCCTAGCCTTAAGCTAACTTCATATTTTGCTTATCTGGGCTATTTTCATGAAATATTGCGATCAGTAAAATTATTTTCATAATTTTCTCCTCATAAGGTCCTTGATCCGTCTCAATGGCTTTTCTCGACCTTGTTTCATGTACAGCATATAGTTATGGTATGTCCTTTCCCGAATCCATTTCAATTTGTCAAGCCATAATCAGTACTTTGGAACAATGAAAGTACCATCAGAAATGCTCAGAATTTACAGCAACTTTGAAGCAGAGAATTAATGATGATAGTTTTTGCTTTTTAAGATTTCAAGTCTGCTTCTTCAAGGTAGATGGTCTGTTGCTTTCCAAAAACTTTACCTATAAATAAACAAACATAGCTATATACAATACTCTATTACAAAATGTATATCGCCATTTTGAAGAAATTTGCTTTGCAGTCATTGATTATGATTATGTATTCCAAAATTTGGATGTAGATAATAAAGATGACAACAACAGGTGACTTCAACGTGCCCCATCGAAAGCATTAAGGGGGCTTGGAACAAAAAGAAAGATGGGGCCCATGAATATATTATTAATACTGTTATTGTTTTTGTAATTTTTAGGAACCAGGCATAAAACCTCTTGGCGGCACGGTACCGACTATTCCGGTTTTGTGTCCTTGATAATGGCGCGGCTAGACGTCAGGGATGCCGTATTTGCATGTTATAGTCTAGATTCAGCATTTTGGCAGATTTTGAAGGTACCTTGCATCTAAAATTCTGTCGAGCATATTTTCGAAATTTGACATTTTGTATTGTATTGTATTGTATTGTATTGTATTGTATTGTATTGTATTGTATTGTATAGAATATTTAATATTAGTTTTTACAATAGTAAAAACACATTAATTAAGACTAATATAAGCCAATTTCAAAGATTGCATATAACAGATTATTTACTGCAAAACGAGCACGCGCACTTGTTTTCAAGGAACCAAGTTTTGATCAAGTTCTTTAATTGTCCCGTATTTTGTGCTGTCTTTATTGATTCCGGGAGTGAATTCCAGATTTTAGGCCCTTTGTCACTTAATGATCTGATACCATTGTTGGTAGTTTTGGCTTTAGGAATGTCAAGGGGGATTTTGAGTCGAAGGTTATGACTTGTTTTTTTGGGTACAAAATAGTCTTTCATTAAAACAGGATTAAGCTTGTTAAGTGTTTTATAAACTTCAAGGGCTAGGGTTAGGGTTAGGGTTAGGGTTAGGGTTTCATGAAACATGTATGGTAGTTTCTTTTGAGTTAGCAAGTAGTTCTTTGTATGAAAACGAATGAATAGTCCGAAAAAGGGAGTCTTAATGCCCTTTCGTTAATTTTCTCTAGCTTATCCTGACTTCCTTTACCACATAGCATCCATATCAATGGACAATAATTGAAGTGACATAGTACAAATGAATTCGTAATTATCTTTTTTTCTCTGTCGCCCATAAATCTTGCCAATCTTTTTAAAGAATTTAACTGTTTGGCTGCTTTTTTACAGATCTTATCGATATGAGCATCAAACTTTAAATTTTCATCGATCTGAACACCAAGCAAAGTAACGATATTCTCTATTTTAATTGCAAATTCTTTGTCAATTCCAAACTCACTTATGCATTTATCTTTGCTGCCGATTGCGACAGCTTGAAATTTAGAGGGATTTGCAATCATTTCATTAGATTTAAACCAATCAAGACATCATTTTTTGGTGTTAACTTTTACAAGTTGCAATAGTTCATCAGTATTTGTTGCAGTGACAGATATCGTGTTGTCATCAGCAAAATTACATAAAGACCCTTCACTAAGGCTGTAAAAATATTGAAAATATTGAAAAGTAGAGGTCCAGGTATTGATCCCTGTGGCACTCTTTGCCCGAGTTTACCCAAGGAGCTGTAATGACCTTTCACTTTGACTCTTTGTTTTCTATTAGACAGATAGCTTTGTATGAGTAGAAGAGAATTTCTATCTACACCAAAGGCATGTAGTTTTGCTAAAAGTAGGTTTTTTGGTTGACAGTCAAAAGCTTTGATAAATCCATAAGGACAGCACCAATATCTTGGTTCCTTTCCAGTTCTGTTTTTCAGTCTTCAATATTTGCATATTTAGAAAAAGGTATTCAAGAATATGTATTCTTTACGCCTGTCTCTCTAGATTAACAACAAGCATCCTTAAACAATGTATGAGATCCGTTTCTGCTATGTCACTGCGTCATGCTCACACCCCGTCGCTAGATGTTAGAGGCAATACTACGTATCTGCCCGCCATCGCATTCTAGGGGGCAATGTTGCAAATAATATCAAGTTTTCTTTCAGATCCAACCACGGTGACGTAACTGTTATGGGCAATTATTAGAAATCAAATATTTTCTTTTCCTTTAATCGCTAGAATTGTTAAAATGATGGTTTCATGTTCGAAATATACGTACCTTGATGATTAAAATATACCAGTGCCTTCCATGCGAAAATCCTTCCTTCATGTGGAAATTACAACCAACGGAACAAACTTATTGGTCTTCAGAGGCAGCGTCCTCTGAAACAGCCTACCTGACATTATAAAAAGCACACTGTCTGTTGTAGGAGGCTTCAAAAAGCTGACAAAATTTTGGAAGGTTGAAAATTGCTCGTGCAAAAGATGTTGGTAGAAAAATCATTTCAATTATATCAATATTTGTGAATGTAAATCAGGTAAATTTTTTAATGTTATTGTGAATTTTTCCTTTTTTGTAGATGGCTGGTCTGAATAGCCTTTCATATATGCCATTGTAAAATTGACTATGCGCTTCTATTGACTATGATCAAGATAAGGAAACGCAAGCAAGCTTTCAAAATAGTAGGTCAAAAATATGAAAAGGTGTAGATTCAAGCTTAGAAAGTGATATAAAGAAAGCTGAAATGGGGAGGAGAAAAAAGAATAGTTTCTATTATTTTACAAGGATTTCATTATTCATCAATTTCATCAATTATTTACATTGCTTACACCGATGTGAACATGCTTGCCGGCTTGTGTATTTTCTATGATTTCAGACCTTTCATATTATATCTCTAACCTCTTTATAGATATGAATGCTCATTTACATAGATACAGGATTCAAGCTGTTTGGTGTTACCAATGATTTTGGCAGCCATTGTAGATCGCTAAATTAAGGTAAAAGTACCCCTGGAACCAGCAATGAGCCTTGAGGGACACCAACAATTGCAAAAGATTCACATCAACGGCCCCTGTGGTGAACCATATATTTGCCAATTATTGATGGTATATCATTAAGAAACATCACCTGGATTTACAAAGCTTCGATTCAACATTTATTTTGATGTTTAAGCGAATTATAAAGAGAGCGGGATTAAGAACAAGAGTCGTTTGTCATTACAATAAAACAAAGAAGTTAATCACTAATACATTTTTATTTGCTATGTTGGCTTCTATCAAGTTCTAAAAGAGAATTTGGTGACGCAATAGCATTTCATAAGCGAGACACACTTGGAGTCCTAAGCTGCAAACAGAAATTATGTTATATTTTGACAAAAGTAAATTGCTTTATCACAAAAACGATCACCAACAGTGTTCACTCATTGTAGAGTAGCGTAATAACTTAGAGATACTGAACAGCGTATTTCTGTCCGTCATAAGAAATTCTGTTTTTGTAAGTTCAGTTTCATACGTGAGAAAACTTCGAACACGATCCATGCGAACAAAGGTACAAAGATTATTCCATTCATTATTTTTAACTTTTCCATGAAAGGAATCAGGATGTGATTTTTCCGGATCGCCAATTTCATAATGAAAATGTAGAAATTGAAATCCACCAGATAAGGAGAAAGATAATCCATCAAAACCAGTGGTTAGATTATCGCGTTGTTCAAATTTTCTTCATCAAAACAAATGAAGCCGCAAAATCATCTTAATGACAAGTCGATAGTATTTTAAATATAAAATGTCATTGATTTTGGTGGACTCGTGGGGCGTAGATATTGTGAAGCTGCTCTGAGAGATCACTTGAGAGCCTGAGTGGCCGACCTTGAGAAACTTTGTACTAGTTTCGAAAAATAATTATCTTTTGAATAAACTTTGGAATGACTTATTAAGAAAATTTGATTCCATGCCAATCAAATCACGAGGAAGTCGGAGATAAAATCTGAATGTTTCTCTTGCAAATTGCACTGCTTACATTCAGATTTATACAACATCATATCTGGGAATATACCCTGGGTGCCAGAGTGACAAAATTTAGAGCATGGAAATGGAAAACCAAGCGGAGAAGCAAGATGGATATTTCTCAGTTAGATGCTCCTCCGCTTCTTCTCTCCTGACTTCTATTCCTCCGTTCGAAATTTTGTGGCTCTGGCACTGCCAATGATAGATGATTCCTTACTGAGCGATTGAATAGAATGTATTGCAATGTTGATTCGAAACAAAGACTTGACTCTGCATGCGATAGTTATTTTGTAATTGTGATGCCCTTAGTAGGTTTGACGATAAAATACTGAGAACAATCTCTGATAAAAAGAAAAGGACAGTTGGAACAGTAAATGCTTAATGCATGTTCAACTTAATGCGACGAACGCTGGGCTAGAAAACCATGTTCCTTCCTGGTAGCAAGCTAACGAGCAGCTTAACCTTCCTTTGAATTTCTTTAAGGCACATGCAAAAAATAGTTTTCTGCATTTAGGATGCCAGGGTTAAGCAATAGTGGAAAATCTTTGATTAAAGCTAGCCATGCTTCATTGATATGCCTCTATAAAAATATGGACACCAATCAGGAATTCGAAGGAAAAGACGTAAAACATGCGACATAAAATGAATAAAATAAAAAGCTACAAATGTACAAAACAGTGAATCGTAAAAAACAGCTTTAAAATTTCCCCAGGTTATTTTTGTAAATAAAGGGACTTTTGCTCATTTATTCGAATGGGTTTTGTATGCTTCTCCTAGAAGCTATTTGCTGCTGCCCTACATTGAAAGTGCTACTGCCAAATGCAATACATTTCCCTTTCTCTCCATGTTTCTTTCATTTTGTTCCCTTCCTTTGCCATTTTCTGTTTTGCTTCCCTCCTTTTCCTTTTTCCTTCTATTACTTCTTGGGGAATTGAACATTTCAGCAAACTTCCTGATAGCGCCACTACCACTCAGGGCCGTCGAGAGACGGGCCGGGCCCCAGGGCTGGGACTTTCATGGGGCCCACCGTCGAAGGCTGCAAAAACCTTTTTTGGATTACGCCCTTAGCAATGCAGTTAGATGGACTGTAAAAGGCATGAATTTTGAAATCAACGCCCCTGGAACACTTGAATTTGTATTTTAAGGCCTTTAACAGAACATGTAATCAGTGACTATATAAAAAAATCATTAAAACAAATCAGTTTAAAAATCAGAGTTAATTTAATGTTTAAAAAACTGCTTTCCTTGCTTTCCTCATGGCGGAATCCTTAATCTTTTCCCACAATCTTCTCCAGCTGTCGTTCGCTCCCCAATCATCAGGAGAAGCCAATTTTGATTTTGAACCATTATTAATAGTGTGCTCAAAGAACCTGCATGGCAAAAAAAGAGTGCAGCCTTTGTAGGACTGAAAACAAGCCAGCTTCTTCTTACTACCTGCCCATTTTGCTGCTTCACATTTAGGACCGTTGTTGGAAATTTGTGGCCGTCGCAATCTTTGGGAAACTCTGGAGAATGAGGCAAATGACCAGTTCTAACAACCTTTTCTAACTCCTTTTTCGTTGGAAATCCGGTCAATGTGCCGACATCAAAACTAGATGATCCACTATGAACAGTATCTTGATTTAATGACAAATCGGTAGTGCTTTCTCTACTTTCTGTGGTGTCATGGTCTACCGAAGCAGCCAAGCCGTCTGTGTCTTCTTCTTCTTCAGCAATGCTTTGAACAGAGCTTTCACCAGGTTTATTTCAAGTTGAATCACCTTCCTTGTCTCTTTTGTAAGCACCTACCTCAAACAATGTGCGAGAGGCCTTCTTTGCTTCTTTTTCTCGTATCTTTTTTACCTGCCTTTTCTGAGCACCAGATGTGTGCCTGTAAGATGACATCGCAGGGGTTGCTTGGATCGTGATCCCGCTTAGTGATTTTGATAAAGACTTTTATAGCGTTTGGATTTGTCTTGGTTCTTCGCATGTGCTTTCTCTCTGGTCTACACCGTGAATGGAAGATTTACTTTTACGTTTATAGGAAGTCCACACAAGGAATAACTAAAACATCTGACCTAAACATGGGCTCCGACAAAGGTTGAAAAGTGGGGGACCAAGGAAAAATTTAACACCCAAAACAAAAGATTTTGAAAAAACTCTATTGTTTTGCAAAAAAATGGGGGGCCAAGGCCCCCCTGACCCCCCTCCTTCATTGGGGGCCCTGCTAAAAGTAGATATATGTAAGTGCAATCGAATTTTTCGGCTTCCGGAGAAGTATATTATGATCGTATCGGCAATGTTTTAATTATAAACCATCACAAGAAAAGGCCCTCGTCATAGACCAGTTTGTTGATCCCATGTTGAAAGATTAAAGTTCGAATATCAATCGGGTCATGGGCCCGCCCTGCCAATGCTGCTAATTGAAAACTCATAGCCAAAAATACATACCTTATTTTCTACGGGCCCCTCAAGGCCCCGGGCCCCCTGGTAACTACCCTGGTTACCCCCCCTCTCGACGGTCCTGCTACCACTCTACTTAATTTTTTGGGGGCCTGACGAAACGTTTGGCAGCGGACACGAGCATGTTCAGCAAGGGTCGTACGCCCCAAGGAGACCTAAGCGGGCTTTGAATTCATGCAAACTTTACCTCTTTCCATTCTCCCAAATTCACGGTATGATTTTAGCTCTCTCAAAATGACAGGCTACAAGATCCTTAATACTTCGTTTGTTGAAATGAACCTTTATGTAAACAGAAAATATCTGCTGCTCTTTGCCAAGATGATCTGATATCAGTGGAGCCGGTGCAACACCGTACGAGAAATCACGCTCGTTATTGATAACCAAGCTTGACCTATTTTGAAACCCTCAATAGATGAGTTTAATTTCATAGGCAATTATTGCCAAAAACCTTTAACAGGAAAGGAAGGCATCATCATTTTTGTTTCTCACTATTTACGGAGCTGATGATCCAACACATCATACTCTGTGTCAGCTAAGATCTGGAAAGAACCGTAACTGACCATCATAATGAAAAAGGTTCCGATCACAGAGAAGAAAACTAACACCCCCTCCCCACCCCCTTATGTTCCAACCCAGTTTTGGAAAAATTAGAAAGTCGATCTAAAAAAAGTGGGGTGGATATGTCAACCCCAGTCCACCCGGTGGCGCCGCCCCTTGATTAACTGCTTGTAAAAAATTGCAACTCAAAGCTTAGACTCGTTAGTTACCTGTCCATTAGTTACCTTTATGTCCTGTCATTAGTTACCTTTACATGACTTTAAATTGCCTGGGCATGTTTTGCACGGGGTCAGTAGTTGCCTTTACGAAGCCATCTATTGTAAAGAACTGACAATGAAACATAAAGAACAAATGGTTGACAGCCCATTAAACACATTAGACGTTTATAAAACATTGCCCCTATAAATTGATAGACAATATTGCATCTACACATTGTAATCATGGATTCTGAGTGGCAAATTGCAAATGGAAATAAAATCGGCTTTTACGTTAGGAATAAAGTGTTGATTACAAAATTGGACGTCGTTCAGGCACTTGGCTTGTGTGTAAACAGACACCCGAGTTTTGTACACTTTCTTTGTAAATCTTTGTGTGTTCAAAAGTTAAAACATTTACCAGAGAATACAAATGTTTGTACGCATAAAGCAACATAGCTAAAAATGATTAATTTTTCACAAAATTCCTTTTTATTTGCAAGACAACCATTGTAAGATGTATTGACAAATACTCATATTGAACCACGGTATTTGCTCGACCTTGACAAAGAATTGCCATATTTTGTTCACGACTTACGTGCAGGAAGGACACTGTCTACATTGGAGGTTCTTGGCAGGGACTAGAAGGGAGGACCTTTGAGCAATGGTTGTATTTACTCCCAAACAGTTATCGAACAACGTTGCAAACTTTTAGATCATTCAATGCCACCTTCTGCGCCAATCTTTTCTTAACTTAACGACCAGAAATATCTTCAACGTGGTCAGTATTCGGCAAACAGTAACATTATGTTAATTTAAAAAATAAGTGCTGTTACCCTACAGTTAGTCCCCCCGTATTTTCTAACTTCAATCTGCCTTTGTTATCTGATAGTTAATACTATCGTCACGTGATCTTACCGTGCCTGAATATGATGGGTTGTTAATGAGTAATTACAGTTTTACACACAGATTGCGTTATCCATTGTAATACAAAAGAAAGGTAATTTGGTAGAATTTCATGGGGCATTGAATTTAATAACACTGTTAGATGCATTTGATGATTATTTGACCAAGCGTGGTCAGCTACCTCGGCGATTATTGCGTACAATTAATATCGTTCCTGCATGCCACGATGTCTTTTCTGTCTGACCTGGTATAGTATATGGCTCTCCCATAAATTACTTTTGCAAAATAGGGAATCCCTACAAAACACTATGGGAGCTATCGTTTCTTCTATCTAAACCAAGCTAAAAAGAATTTCTATCTAGCAATCCAAAAGCGTGGTATACTTAAAATGTTTATCCATTATTCACATAACAACCTCTACAAAAATGTTGAAATAGAGTCTAAAAAAAAGCTGCTTGAATAATATTCAGACGGGAAAAAATTGTAGAGACTGTTTTCAAGAACCCATTCAAAGAACTCAAACCTGGGTAGGTGAACCCCTCCCTTTTAGATCATGGACGACCGTGTTCTGCCAGGTGAAAATAAAAAAGGAATGAAGTGCCAGTAATAAGTACAAAGATGTTTGAGATCGCATGTAGCACTTTACATGATATCCCATGTAGGCCGAGATTACGCAGTGTTTCGGCTAAAGGAAAATCTGGCAACCAACGGAAATGCTGCTCCGCAGCAAAAAAGCAAAGTAAATTATGTGCCGTTTTCTTCTGTCCGGTTGATTCACTTAGACATTTCTTTTTTAATTAAACAGGGACGTCTATATCGGGTAGTCTTACAAAAAACCACCGAAAGGTTAATGTTTCGAAAACAAAGATTATTCAAGGTGAAAAACTTTCCTGTTTACCAACGTTCAACGACGTCTGGGCCATTGTTTGCGCAACTCGCAGAGGACAGAAGACGTTTGAGTGTTGTGAAAAGTCGAGAAAGAAAAAACACAAAATGACAAGTGTACATGGAGCATGGGAAATTATTTACAGATCTGGTTTAAACATGAATGCAGTCGACTTATTGGAGATATCGGGTGGTTTTATTGTGCGATACGATAATGAATATTTACAATTAATAACAAGAGAACTTCTAGTAGAAGACATACGCTTAATGGAAATAACTGAATAACGCCTATGGGTAGGCAAACGACAACTGTCAATAGGCCATGTCGAATTCTGACTCATTCCATACAAATACGGATACGAACGTAAACATGCTTTTTAGCTTTATATACAAAGGCTAGTGGTACTGCACCAAGAGCCAGAAGGGACAGAGGAGGGCATGGGCAAATGTTGGGGAATTTAGTCGGTCAGAGACCACTATTTAATCACTCAATGTTTTTAAACTACGAATTCGGAATGATTGATTGGAGGTTTGGCTGATAAAAATTTCCATGTCAATATTACGCAACTTCCTCCAGGTAGTGCTTGTAGTGGAAAATTTCGTCCTTATTTACAATAAAACAAAGCATGACTGGCAATACCACTATCATGGCTGATGGACGTGAAAATGGTTGGTTTTGCCTGGTCAACCCGCCTATGCGCATGAGCAATTACTGTAAGTGTAAGATTAGTTTTGCATTTAGGATTAGCGGGTTTGAAAGAGAGATTAACCAAACAAAAATTGAAATAAGTCGATAACGAAAGGATAGGAAACTGGAGATCCCGAGATAGGGCGACAACCACCAAATCAAAGCTAAGACGGATCCTGGGGGCAACTGAGCTTCTTAACGGAAAATATGCATTCCTTTTAAAGATTGAAAAATCTCCTATTCAGTTTTCTTCGTTAGCAAATTGGTGTTGAATTAATTTTGAAGGATATCGAGTCTAATCAACTTAATTTCAAGTCACCTATTAATAACCAAATAGACAATGACCTTGGTATTTTGGATAACTTTGACGTAACTAAGATCGTGTTGCTTGCTTTATATTCCATTTTCAAAGAGAATCATCGCAAAAATTTTGTGCAATTTCTTATGACACAGTGACTGGCTATCATCTTTATCTCAAACAGTACCAACACAGTCCGTAAGATACAGCAAAATCTGCCTTAAACGGATTGCTTCTGTAGATTATTTTCCAAAACTTTACAAAATATCTAAGCATGGAGTGAAACGAGTCTTTCTATCATCGATATACGTTGTCATGTGTGAGTTTCCTCAACTTTCAACTGTCCCAGTCTCCATTGTAAGGACATCTTTTAAAGGCATCTATTTTTTAGCTTTTAGGCCTGGTTTTCTGAAGGTAATTAGCATTGAATGTGCATAGAGTTTTATATTAAGACTTTAAAGCATCCAAAATGTGTTATTTTTTCAGTTTTATGTTTTATAATATAATGTGATTCAGAAGATTCAGATTAATGGCAAAAACAGAACTGGGGAAAATTCGCAGGCAGTTAGAACCAAAGCTTGCATCTGGGGGGATGATTGTAATAATAAATCAAATTGCAATATAAAGAATCTACTCAATAGCTTATTGGTACTAATTTTGCTTTGAGCTGACTTAGGGTACACAAGTACATAATATTACATCAAGAATTGTACAACAAAATCTTGAGAGATTCACGTAGAATATACGTAGAGGCCTTTGGCTACCTGGCTCATGGCAGGATAACAAGCCACTTGATTAGCAACTCACCACCTTCTCCTTAACCATCTTATCTCCTCAAATAATCCTGATACCAGTAATAACAAGCTGCTGTCTGAAATTCTTCAAGACCCCTTCAATCCATTGTAGCCTAAGAGGATATTCTCTTTCCCTCTTCACATACAACATGCATCTCCAAAATTCCACATTCAAGGAAGGTGGCATCACAGGTAGTCAAGGCAACGCATTTCTGATTGGAGGATGCTTGGATCATCACGTGATGGTAAGTAAGCCAGTCGGTTGATTTTCTCGTAATGTGCTTGCAATAAATTAAGTGTTAAAAACATTTACGATGAAAATGCTTGTAACTGGCAACACAACAGCAACTAGCTCCCTGTCAGGAACCATAATAGAACTGGCAAAACTATACATAAGGATGTTGGCAACACTGACTCACCCAAGCTCGTCTTTAGGGGTTTATTACTTCTCTCTCCGTCAAGGTAAGTTAAGACAACACTGTTTGACCGCCGAAGTCTGAGTTTTGGGTCCATTGCTACGGCGTCCTGCATTGCGCGGAACGCAGCGTTGGAAAATCTACTATCTCCCGTGCTAATAAGATCAAAAACGCAGGAGTCATAGTAAAAATCAGTCAAGTTGGCCTTTTTGCATTGGTTAACAGCATCAATCTGCCTCATGGCTGGCTGGGCTGACCCAAATAGCACACTGTTAGGGTGCTCTCCAAAGAATCCATTATAGTCGATCATCTCACTTAACGGACATCCGGTCACACAGAGCCCGCGTGATTGCCGGACGTAATTCTCAGGAGTCCGGATGTTGAACGTAAGATATTTTCCAACTTTGCGAATTAGAATTGTAGTATTCAAGTAGCAAATATACAGTCTCACGCCATCTGCATTAGGCTCTTTAACTAAACGTGTTTTGCAGTTTGCCGGGCCTGTTTCAATCGTACCGTCCCTGAATGTTGATGGCACGTAACCGACCTGTGCTTGATAAACTTTCTGACGAGTGCAACCATGTTTGCTTTTCTTTATAAGCACGGTGATCTAAAGTTCGACAAAAGAAACAGAAAATCAAATAGTTATGTCACAACAAAGTTAATCCTGCCCTTCAGATAAATCATGACTGAGGCTTGAAAACAAACATTAGTTCACGATGTTCCATTTTAGTGTATTTATAGGAAAGACAAGAGGAATTTTAGCTAAGTTTCAATTGACCACGGAATTATACGGGATCTTGCAATAAAGAAGGTTTCCCGCAGTTTGGTTGTCACACACAAAATAAGTCACAATGGTTTTCGTGTAGCTTTCTCCTATTCTTAATCTGTTGACACAAAAGCAAAGGTTTGAGTAACTCTGGATTCGCGTAAGAAATAGAATGGCGATACAGGTAGCTTCATACAAGCAGAATATGTGTGTTAAATAAAAATTTAGTCTAAAGTGAGCTGTTATGCTTCGTTAGGCCTTGGGAAATAACTTAGACAAATTAACTATTCCCTGTGCTCAACAACGGCTTGCTTGATTCCAGCTGAGGGAAAATCGACAACACACCGATCGTCAAAAGATAGTACCCACATTTTCCCTTGACCAGCTGAGATAAAAGCGGCACAATGGCGTGAAATCATTACTAAGCAAAGACTTAAACACTTTTAGCAAATCGTGTCGTCCGACTCTAATTCTTGAAGAGGTTCTGAGAAACTTTTTTGAATTTACATCGGCTTGTTTACCTTTGATGTTGCGGTAGCCACAGGATTATTCCGATCGATGAGAACGTTTGTAACTTGTACAGCAAAGTATTTATTATTCAGCATGGGCCATGCTCCTTTAACAACACATGTTTGGCGTTTGTCACTAAAAGTTTTCAAATGTGGATCTCCAAACAAACCACAGTGCAGAGACTCCACTGATTTCGTCTTGTAAACACATCGACTGTTCGTGCTAGGCCCACGAGTCTGGCTTCCTTCCCTAGGCCTTGTGACGCCCGGAGAAGCTGGCGAGGCTGGAGAAGCTGGGGATAACGTTGAATATCCTCCCTTCAAAACAGTCAAACAATTATATTTCTTGAACTGCCACGCTGTCCCAGTGTAAAGAGTTCTCATGTATAAACTTAAACTGCAATTTTTGTTTTTTCGCAGTCCATTCAAACAGCTGAGAGTCGTGTGAATTTGATGACAGAATTTGTAGGCATCTTTATTTTTGTTGAAATCTTCATGCGCTGTTGAATGCGGCGAGCAAGTACAACTGCTCTCGCTTCGTCGACTTGAGTCAGCTTGCTGATCGTCGAGGAAGCTGAACGGGTTCCCAAGTAAAACCATACGAAATACAGTGGCTGATAAAATCCAAATTGTCCCGATTGTATGCATATCCGGATCGAAATGAGCTGAAAATAACTCCAATAAGGCTAGGGTTTCATTTGGTTTGCACGGTTTTCAAGAACTTGTACATGATGTATTGCCAATCATCAACACCACGACAGTTGATCGACAAATCCAAACTCAAGTACCAGCTATCCCGTTAAAATCTTGTTCCGTTAAGCATCTGTTGTAATCTTAATATCATTCGATCCTACTTCATTTATGGCAATGCTGGTTTGTTTACACAAAATTCGTATGTCACCTTCTGACGAAGGTGTTCGTTAACGCGGTTTTCGTAGCTGTGTATTGGTTTCACAACAGACCGAATGTTTCAACAATGTCCTTCTTTGCACGTCCTTTACAACTCCATTTATGTGTAGGAATAAATTCGTCAACAAGTTTCTCACCAATCAATCAAACTGCCACACTTGAACACAATATAAATAGCTGACAACCACACTTCAGACCAGAAAAGAATGTAAATCGTTTAGGCAAATGCCAGATCCCTAATAAGTCATTCTACTGTAACGCAATTATCTCGAATACAACGTTTCATCCCTGCTTTTGGTCTCAAATCCCTACGATTGACGAAGCGAGCCTGAACTGGGCCGACCCTGTTGGATTTTATGGTTTTGGTAAGGAAGCCCCAGCACGTAGGAACCCCCGTGGAGCTTATCATCTTGTCTTTGAAATTACGCGCTGGTCTATCCACAATCGTTTGCTGTCTCACCAGGATCTCTGCGTTGATTGGTCAATGATAAGAATACGTTTCGAAGGCCGATTGTTCTTATGCAAATTTGACAAATCGCTATTAATTGGAGACAACATTAATATTTTACTTGTCAATTCAATGGATGCAGAGGGCGAATTCTCGATCGCCGTTGCTGTCGGATTGTGTTTTAGATAAAAAATCCATTGAATTTCTAATATTGGAATATTCAAGGAAAAATTCCGCCGAGGAAGGAAAATGACGTTCCTCACGTTTTGAAGATAGTGTAAACAATCAACGGCAGTCTTCTTGCAACGGAAACAATTTGCCTACAATATTAACATATTAATGAAATTTTGAAGATGCAAAAGAGCAGATAATTTCTCTCGATCTTTACCCAATTCTGCAAAACATGTTCGTTGAAACCGAAAAAAGCGTCCAAAAATGTATTCGACAGACTGCGACATAAATTCGAATTCAATTCCATTTTAATTAAAAAACAATTTATATCAAATTTTACAATAAGAGGTGTTGCCTAGGTCACTGAGATAATCCAAGTCGACTTTTGGGCTCATTGCAATACAGGTACGCCGGAGCGAGGGGGGCTTAGGGGCCATAGCCCCCTTACTTTTTTGCGAGACTATGATATTCAGATAGTGGCATCTAAGAAGGGGAAAAACTACCATAAAAATTTGCCAATTTGTCTTGAGTAACCCCCAACGCCCTCTCCCCGCAAATTGCTCCGGCGTCCATTATAAGATGAAGTTACGAAATTTTTCATCGAATTTGCAGAAATAATTTTATACAAAATTGATCAGAACATAATGGTAGCTTTGAAAATAAAAGCGGTCACCGAGAGCGCGGGACGTGGACAAAATGTTAATGGTACATTATTTGATAATTGTCTTATTAAATTTGTGAAATATCATTTAATATTCAAGTTTTCAAAGCAAAAATCTATACAATTTGAAATGATTTTTTGTCCTTTTTCCTAGTAGTTCACTCAATTTAACCTCTGGCTTGTCGCGACATTCCGAGGTTTTTAACTAAAGCCGAGGTGACCATATTTGCTGCCCTCTTTTGGCTAATCGTAAAGAATGCATTTATTGTGATTTCGGTGGTTGACGTTTTTCACCGATCAACCTAACACCTGGTTGACACCATTGGATTTCTCCTCACGCCCACTGTTTATGCCAGCTCCTTCCCAATGGCTAAATCTCCTAATAAGCAGAAGCCTCAACGAGAAAAAGGCCCGTCGTAGAGAAGCTCTAGCAGGACGTTTTTCAGCTACTTGTATGCAGGGGCGTAGTGCTAGGGGGATCAATAATTCATTCTTTATTATCTTTCCTTTCACCCTACAATTTTTAATTCAGGTACATATTTTCAGCATAGCTTTTTCAAACATGGAAATAAGTTTGTTTGGTCGTATGGCCTTTTTATTTGACTTGCATTTAAAAAAGATGCTTGAATGTGCAACTGACACTGAACAATGAAAGAAAAATTAATAATCTATGTTTAGTTTTTAGACGACTAAAGCAAATCATATCCATCTTAGTTTTCAATGTTCAGAAAAATGATGACAAATCCACGATAGCAGCCAATGAATTTTAATTTGAAAATTGAATTAGAGGGTAGATTCAGTCAATAGGGTGGGAGCACCTCCTTTAGCTGCAAATAGGCACTTTACGCCTGCTTCTATTGAGTGAGGGGTGGATGTGTTGTGCGTTTGTTCCTCAGACCCTCTTGTGGTCGTTTGTATGCTTCACATGGATTCACATGTTTGTGTTTTAAAGAGTTAGGAACGTGAAGACGTGATAGTAATGTCTAGGGAAGTGGTAGAAGGTTTGGCCCCCTTTCTTGAAAATAGACTTACTTTTGGGAAGTTCAAGCTTCGCAGCAGCTATACAGGAAGATTCTGAGTTTGATAAATAGAGAAACCCCAAAACCTCTCTCTTAAAAGATCTTTCTTCCCTCTCATTGCTTGAATCGGACAACTGTTTCCATGTTTAACTGTTTGAAGGACGTTTTCAGGTAGGTAAGGCACCTTTTAACCACAACAAACGTCAAACAAGAAAGACACTCACAGCTGTTCATTGACAGCAACTCTCACTTTGCTGAAAAATGGGGCTGGAACACTCCCCACGAGCATAATAGACACTCACTTTGCTAGAAAATGGGGCTGCAACACTCCTCACGAGCACAATAGACTGTAACGGAGTGTCCGACGTGGTAAGAATAACACATATTTCTTATATGTGTTATTCTTGCCAAGTCGGACAATGTCCCCTTCAATTTCTCAAACACCTTTTCTTCTACTCAACTTTACTCTAAATCACTTTAACTATCATCCGGTACGCCTTAATCTCCTTTTCCTCTTACAGCCTCGTTTACAATATTAAATCACCATACAACATCTTCACAAGACACTCACTTTGCTGAAAAATAGGGCTGGAAAACTCCCCACGGGCACAATAGCTAGCAATTGCTGTACCAATTTAGGAAAAAATTAAGAAAAATCCAGCCTCAAAGTTTTGGAAATATTAAGAACAACCAGCCTGAACTTGATCTTGTAAATTTCCAAATTTACTATTTCTTATAAAAAAGAGTGTATTTCCAGGGAGTATGGCGTTCTAAACAGCAAACTCCTGCTGAATTTATGTTCTGTTTTAATTTAAGTTATTGAATATTTAGTAAAGCTGTAAACAGAAGATCTAAACACAAGATCTTATACTTTGCAGTGCCGAAAAATTGAAAAAGCAATCTGACCCAAGCACTTCAGTCGGGCAAGATATCATAACGGCCGTTGAACTTTACACGCAAAATGCAGAAAATCTTTATCTTAAATTTTGTTTAGTTTGTAAAGTCTGTGAATGATCGATAAAGAAAGTACGTTTTCTAAGTGGGCCTTTTGTTTGGTCATGTTGTTCACTGATAAACAGTGAGACTGCAGCTGCTTCTCAATGACACGAGCTTCTGAAAATTAAGACGGAACTCAGTGGCACTCAGGTCGTTTGCAATCAAAGGAGCGAAAGATTAGGATGAAGGCCTAGTGCATATTCATGCCTTCCCACAGTTATATAGTAGTTGGGAGCAGTTGCGAGCAGTTGAGACCCGTTGAGACCCGTTGAGAGCAGTTGAGAGCAGTTGAGAGCAGTTGAGAGCAGTTGAGAGCAGTTGAGAGCAGTTGAGAGCAGTTGAGAGCAGTTGAGAGCAGTTGAGAGCAGTTAAGAGCAGTTGAGAGCAGTTTCATGAAACAGCCACGGCCTGAAGATATAAATAAGAACACCTTCACTTAAAAGAATCGTTGGTGATACGCTCCTTACCGCTCATACACTATTTTCTTCGTAAGAACAGGCTCTATGAGAAATATGGAGCTTGAATTGCCAAAGAATAGAGCAGCGAAGGGCTTGCCAAGCCTCAGATGCAAAATCAGATGAAACTTTACAAAAAAGATTTATGGAAATTCGCTCTTATGTAACAAAACACAACAAGATACTAAACCGTGCTGGTAAAACTTGAAATACAAAACAATTATAAGATGGCCTTTGAATCAAATTGAAAGAAAATATAAGGAAAACGTTAAAAAAGCTCGAGACTCAAATTCTAAGTCTTTGAAATGTCTTGATATTAGCTTTGATATCGAGACCTATTATAGGAAATATAATTATATCAAGACAATCATAATTCATAAATAAGAAAAAATACCTAATTTTCAGAAATCTTTAGACTTTTAGGGACGATTCCAGGGAAGTTAGGAGATGTCATGCTCGATAAAGACACCATTACATGTTACTTTAGAGTGCAGAAAATGGCACAGTTTGGGAAAGGTGGGGTCAACAGGGTCAATAATTTGTAGAGATCAGAAGAAAATTGTATTTGATGAAGCAATTATTTGCTGCAGTGTTGTCACTGTAGAACGCCGGTTGTCGTTGAAGTCTTTATGGAGCTAGCGAGTTCCTTACAGAAGCAACGATGATATAAAGACAAATCCAAATCAATGAAGGGGCTAAGCCAGGAAGGCTACTTACAATGAGCAATAACACGTTTCTGTAATATCATCAGTTGGATCAACTGGATTTGTCAAATTTCCAGATGCGAAATTTTAGAAATTCAGGCTTTTATTTAACAGGTCAGTGATATTAGGTCAACCTCATATACACCGGCAGTTCTTTTACGTCTTATCAAAATCTTGATATGAACAGAATTTTGCCTCTTCTCAAAGAAATATTCAAGCATATATTGATAACATTAATCCTTGAAGCACAGTTAGTCTATAATGAAAAGCTTTATTTGATGTTGATTGTGGGCGGCCATGTGTAGAAATACTAATTATTTGTTGCCCCCTCTCGTTACCTTACACATCTACCAGAAGACACAAATAAAGCCACCAAAGCCCCTTTTTACAAACTTAGACACTTTTTATCTTTGAAACAAGAGCCTTCGTTAATACGCACCACTGGTAGAAGTACCCTCGTATTAAGCAATCACCCAGATTTTGTAGCATATTCTTTTTTAAGCAAAAGTATGTAGTTAAATGAATCTTCACCAGCGCTAGCCACTTTCCCGTAGTCTTAAAAAAAGCAAAAAAGGATAAGGTCCTAATGTATATAGATCATCATGACATATAGCGTTGAAGAATTCTTTCTCCCTAAACATCTTCAACCCTCTTATTTTTGTAAAAAAGATTTATTTCGGTCAAGTTTTTGAAGGCATAAGTAGATAAAAAGAAAACATAATTATCTTGAGTTCCATGTATCTGGAAGAAAATGTCTAGTAATAGACAGTTTAAAGTAGTAATAGACAGTTTATAGTAGTAATAGACAGTTGATATTAGCATTAGAAGTAAATAGTAGAATTAGACAGTTACTTGTAGTAATAGCCAGTTAATAGGAGTAAAAGACAATTAATAGTAGTATTAGACAGTTTATAGTAGTAATAGACAGTAAGC